TGGGAATATCCAAGTCATGTATTTGTAGTTTAGTGTTCTCCTGTAGCGTAGTGTCTACACTTGGTCACACTAAGGCGAAAAAACGAAGATTACATTTTGTCAAAATTGTAATGATTCAGCAAATAATTCTACTAGCCAATCTATCTGTGGTCACACCTTGGTGCCTTTTTGTGTATGTCTTTGGCAACACAGAGGGACCTAACATATGCATAAGCTATAGAGATTCACCTGCATGCACTCATCCAAAAAAAGCAAACAGGGTATAGTCAGACAGCAAAGACACACCCATAAGTAAAATGCTGCTTGGTTGAAAAGCTGCCTTGAACAGTGCGGCGACATGAGAACTTGCCACAAGCAAGGAGAAAAATCATCTATAACATTACAACAACAAAAAGTGCACAGAGAATGGCTTACAGTTCTCATTTCACTGGATAAAAGTTTGCACATAAAGACTTCTACCTTCATCTTCATTGCAGGAGCTAAGCTAAAGGGCCAACATTGCCAGCTGTTGAATGCCTCCTGAAGAAAACACTGTACAAGACTGCAGTGCTGGTTAAATACTTTGAAGCTTACCAGGGCAGCTTCTGGCTCTTAAATACATGATTACGTTAGCACAACTGGACTTTGCGACAATTTAGTTCTATTACTTCACCACTAAGGGATTCGACTTAAACAGCCATGTTTCCGGGTTAATCCATATTGAAACATTCAAAACATTGAGCCTGAATAATAATTTTGGCCTCAACCGCTTTATTCAGAAGTGATCAAATCAAAAACGTGGAGGAGATAAAGGCCTCTCGGATTACACATGCAGAGTGGTTTCATCATGGAAATCAAGACCTTGAGAGACCAGCTCTACAGGAAGGTAACATCACACGAGAAAAGCCTCACATTAACAAAAGTCACAGTCACTGCTAGACATCTTCCACTGAAGACCATTATAGGAAGATATCAATTAAGAGGTCAAAGTCTACTCAGTGCAGCGGTGAAAAACCATTTCATATTGATTATTTGTAGCTTGTCATGCATTAGTATAAATGCATTAGCTATTGACGTCTCTATCTACACACCCACATGGCACAATACGACCAGGTGGTCACAGAAAGGTAAGGAGGTCAGAATCAATTAATTAGTAGCCAAGTAAACAGCTTTTACATAAGACTTTATCTTTCTGTTGATTTATTACAAGAATAACCTGTGTAGTAAAAATATGTTTCATATATTAACCATACCATTTAACAACTACTACTCTCCATTAAAGAGCATCTTGTTCTTGTTACCTCCATTTCAGACTGAGATTCATATGCAAAGGTCAGCTCTTCAGGACTTCAGAGAAATGAGAGCAATAAGTTTTCCTTAGGGGGGTAGTATTTAGAAAGCTCATTTAAAATGACTCATCGCATAATTTTGTTTTATACATTATTCACTCTGGGGGAAGACTACATCTGAACTAAGCAGTTGTAGCTGATGTTTGCTTCCAGAGAACTGGTTGCACACAGATTGGTTTTTGCTTGAACAACAACCAATTTGACCGGTAACAAATGCAACAGTTGGTTGGCCACAGCTAATGAGCGGGTTGAGCTGACATTAAATGTAAAAATGCATAGCTTCCAAACAACCAGACATGTTTGGAAGCTATGCATCTAATGGAAAGCTTTATATGCCAAATATTATCACCGCCGCTCGTGTGTGGGAGGTGTGAAGCACATCAAGCAATTATCTTTAATTGAAACAGAATCGCACCATTAAATGACTAATTTGCTTTTTACTTTTTGAAACCACACTGGCTTTAAAATAACTAGCTTGATTTGGGGGAGTTAAAGGTTATTTTACAATGTTATTCTGCCACTCTTATATGTCATGTGAGGGCAAAAATCTATAGTCAACCTATAAATCAATATTTTGACAGCTTCAGATGCTGTCCACAGGTAACACGGTTGTCAATACATTAACTTACCGAGAAAGTAGAGAAGTTTTCTCTACAAGGACATGAGAAAGCTTCATACATGCAATACAGCCTTGATCTTTAAGCATTTCCCACAAAAGCTGCAAAGGTCCTACATAGTCAGATCAGCAATTAAACGTCCATGGTTGTTCAGTCAGCTGGATTGGGTTCTTGGGCTTTGTAATATACAGAGTAAACATTAGCAGCAAAGGATAACAATATTCTGGAGTTCAGTTTAAGTTATCTGCAAAGGCTTCCAGCAAGGTGGACTTTTTTTCTTGATTCGTTTACCTCAAGCACAATTAACTTAGTCTCAGTATAAATCACTGGCACACCGTGACTGGGCACAAATATAAAATACACCACAAGCACTGAAAGAATGAACTGTTATCTAATCGTTGCATCGGCTTTTATCCTGTGGCATGAGAATGAGCCCAAAGTTGCTCCAAATGACAACCAAGAACCTTGTGGGAGTTTCAGTGCCGCTGATGCATGAAGTACTGTGTGAACAGGTGCAACAGAAAGACAGTTAGGCGAGTTGAGAGGTGCTACATAAGCCCTATACAGGTTACACAAGTCATTTCATCTTGAGGGAGCTCATCTCAAGTACAAAGTAAACATTAAACAAACTAAAGGGAACACACAATATACTTTTAAAAACCTGCTTTTGCTCCCTTTTTAAATTTTCTTTTTCACTTTTTTCCACAAATGTATATGATAATCTTCAAATACTGTAAGAAGCACAATTCATCAGTTATGGCTGATTAATTAGGCTTCTATTAGTCAAGCCTAAAATAACCATTGTCAAGTGTTGGTCCACAGTACCTTGACATAATTCTGGTGTCAAAGTGACCAATTGTCTAGGTGGAAGCCTACAATGTCTCCAATCAACAGATATTAGGCAATCATATATGTGTGCCTCATTACATGAAGAAACTGAGGAATCCATATGCGTGCATTTTCAATATCTGGGATAATCAATAGCAAGGCAGTGAATCGGTGGTTCAGAGGAAAATGCATGATATAGACACATTAAAGGGAAAAAGCTTCAGCCCATTCTAGTCACACAGTTTAATCACAGAAGAATCAGCTGCTCAAGCAAGATGCGATTTGTGAAAAAGCTGGACATATGCGCTTTCAGTGAGTGGGTCTGGAGGCTGACTGGGGCAACAGGGTGATGAATAATAGGAAAAAAGGCCTCCATTTTCATAAAAGCATAATTCAGCAATCATTTTCAAAACTAATTCCTTTGTTTTTATTATGAAAAAGATTCATCTATGCCAGCATGGGAATTTATTATGCACCAAGTGACTTCATTTTTTCCACAACTTGGATAAACATTACTGTATTAACTCTAGAGTTCGTAATGTCCTTTTTCAGTTAGTGTTTAATTAAGCAGCAGGGTTCCAACCAAGTTTCTGCAACTCTTCGTCAAGCCAAAATTTTGTTTTTCGTTTTAATTAGGTCTGAAATATATCATTTCCACTTGCTCGACTAGGACCTATTCGTGCTGCTGAAAACAAATCCGGCAATAACTTACAAATGTTTTTATGTCTGGGATGAAAAGAATTTAGGGATTTAGCCTGGATTACTCGCAAAAAGAATAAAAGGGACTGTTCCCAATAAGTAAACATGGAGGTATCTTTTTAACTGCCGATATCGTCACTAAAACACTGAGCGGTTATACGTCATATCTGACCTAGTATTATTTGTTGACATTGGCAACAGAAACGGTTGCGTGATAAAAGCTATGATGAGAAGATCTGCATCTGTGTCATTTGGTGCATTAAGCTGTTATAACAGTTGCACTGTGATTGTTCCTAGCTCTAAAAAGTCAGAGTGCAACTTCAGAGCCTGTGTACATAGATACTGAAGATAAGGGGCAACTCTTTGTCCCTCCTCCAAACTCTAAATCCAGCTATAGCTGACTTTCTTACAGGTGAGCCGAAGGTTGGTTTCTGTAGGTTTACGGTTGTACTTCAGGACTTCACACAGCACCAGCTTGTTGGGGTCTTTGCGGAATGGATCGCGGAACATGGCTGCGGGGATCAGATACAGCACAAATACAGCACAAATAACATCTAGTACCACAAAGATCCTTGTTGTTCACTAGTATGTTGCTTCAACTTATTACACGCGTGACTGGTGCTGACAACATGCGATACAATTTACATCAATGTGTTTGTTTCATTATGTCAGCAGCAGACACAGAAGTTCTCCCCTTTTAAGTGGGCCCTGCTTACTAATATGAAGAGCTGCTTGGGAATCAATGCAGCAAACAGATATTTCTGCATGGCCTTATCAACAACAGACTAAAAAGGTAGATTTAAGCCACAACCAAAATTTAAGCCAAAAACACTGACCTAAATCTTGTTAAGCAGTTATTGAAAAAAACCCTAGAATCTTTATAACTGCCTGTCTATTTTAAAATGTTCCTGTTACTGAATCAGCATTATTTATGTTTGATTTTGATTGATAAGGAGATGATTCATAGCATACCATGAAATAAGAGAAATGTTATTTAGATCCACATATAATTATTTTCTTAGTCACAATAAATGTAAAAAAGATTTTGTTGAACTTTTACTCAGATTTAATCCATGGCTCGCAGAGGATAGAGTGAGACTCTAAGCAAGTTGACTTTCATCTCAAAAAACAAAACAAAAAACCATTTCCTTGAGAAGGAAACAATGTTTGCACTCTTTACTTTGTAACTACAGCAAGAACCTTATCTGCAAAAGGAAGCTCATTCCAAAAAACCCACAAAACAAACAGAGAAAGCAATTTAAAAATCCTACAAGAGGCGCATGGTCAAAAGGCTTTCAGGACTACCAAACACCATCGTGAAGTGGGACATGTGTAGCTGATTGAGAAGCGAGCCATTTCTCTGTGATGAAGACATACAGGTCTACCGTTGCAAAGGCAAACATTCAGCTTATGCTGAACTGCTACTGAGACATGTGAGCTCCTCCTCTGGCTCCTCCCCCTATGTTTCATCCTACTACTCCACCTCTTCCACCTCCTCCTCCCTTGTCTTACATATTGCCTAGTGCTCTGATACAGGAGGCTTCAACCTATGCGGGAATTTTTCCTAGTAGTTGCTCACGGCTGAATCTGCGTGTCAGAGAGGATGACAGCGCAGCCTGCATCCAAGCAGGGTTTTCAGAAGCAGCAAGCAGGAGACTGTTGGGAGGGAAAAAGTCTGTCTGCGCAGCCCTGAGCACTGAAGAAGCTTTACTTAATTCCATTGCCAGTGGAGTTGCTATAACTTTGCAGAAAGTGTGAGGAGCTGAGAAATTACCTTTGATTTTTCAGAAGATTTTCGAGCTCACGAGTTCATCTTCAGTGAAAGAGAAGACTCTTCGAAGAGACCTTCGGCTGATCATTGTTCGTGATAACGAGGAGCTCTTTTTCAGTCATTCTCTGTGAAAAATGTCTGAACAGCATCGAGGCACCTCAGCAGTTTTGTCACATGGACGTTGACGCCAAACAGCTGTTGCATTTACCATCTTTTCTCAGAACGAAGCTGGAATATTGAGGAGCTAGAGCCTACTGCACCGATGATGCTGACCGGTCTGTTTGCATCGAAGTGCTTTGTACTTAGCAACTGATGAGGATGCGAGACAGTGTGATGACCTACCTATATTTGGCAAATGTGTTTTTCACCTCGTTGGAGAGAAGAGCACAGAGGAAAAAAGTCAACGAGAGAGAACAGGAGAGGGGAAGAGAAAGCCAACAAGAGAAAGTGTGAGGCAAACAGTCAAAGGGAAGATCTACAGAGCCAACTCTGCCAAACTGAAGACGAAGTCAAAGAAAAACAACCTATCAAACACTTGGCCACATGCCCGTTTAATGCTGGAGCATTGTGTTCGCTCGGCGCGATACAGGGTGAGTATGTATTCTGTTTGAAGTGGCTATTAGGCAGGAAATTAAAGAGCTCAGAGGAGCAGCTGTCAACTGACCCTACTTACTGTTTACTAAAGACGTATTAGAAATTCTGACATGATAAAATTTTGATTACTGAATAGCAAATGCGGCCTCAGTTACTATATTAAGGAACTGTGGAACATGTTCTGTGGCTCACAGTTGCAGAGCTGTGCAGTACATTTTGTACTGTGTGGATTTAAAACCATCATAAAAACATGGTTTAATTGACCTTAGATACACTTAAATAATTCACAAAGGGTTTGCTGGCATGTTGTGCATTTACTTAATGCAGAAGATACAAGTAAAGTAATTCAGTTTAAAGTATCATTAAAAGTCATGGGTTTGATAAGCCAGCATCCTGACGCTTGATCTGCTGTTTTATTGGAGGCATAAAAACTTTGGGACTTGGTGGCTTTCAATGTCCTTTAATTTACTTGTTATTTTCTTAATTATTATTACTTTGCTCTTGAAACGCAAACAGAAGCTGTTATACCAAATGTTTTGTCTTGCTCGGCAAAAACATGTAAGACCAAAAAAGCAACAAATTATCACATTTGAGAAGCTAAAACGGTTTTTATTTCTTTGGTTGGAAAAAAAAAATTCTTCTACTCAGAAATAATATTTTCTGAGATTTTTAAAACACAAAGCTCTAATAAAAAGCTACATAAAAAGAGCAATCCAGAGATTTTTCCTCTATAGGAAACTGATTTATTTTTATAGTTTTCTTTAATGAAACACAGCAAATTGTAATGGAGAAAATAATTGAGACTGAAAAAAAAAGCCTTGCTACAATTTTTCAGTCAACTATCAAATCAGTTTTCAAGCAATTATGTCAAACATCTATTAGTAAAAAGCCATCTAAGCCCATCAACTGTGACTTTGTAAAACTGAAATTAATTTTTTTCAACCTTTCATAATCTGGTGAAAATAAAAAGTTAATGTAATGGCACTCAAACAAAGGCACAGGTATTTAAAGACGAAAGTGGGTGGGCTGATCAGTGGGATGATCTCAGTGAAGTGTCTATGATCCACCCGCAGCTTTATTTAACCTCACACCATAACCCCACTGGCGTCATCTTAATGAGCAGTTCCAGGGAAACAAACCAAGCACCTGTAATGCTTTGTTTCCTATTTGTGCTAACCAGACAGTACATAATTGGCCTCATTCCTCTGCTTTGACGCCAGTCTCTTCCAGCGTACATGGCAAATCTAGTATCTATAACAACACCGGAACATACATATTAATGGAATGATTGGGACTATTAATCTCAGTTAGGAAATCATCCTTGTGTGTGTCAATCTGGTTAGCCGAATCACAGAAGCTCTAATGTGATTTCCTTTTGTTTCATTATGATTGAGCTTTGATAGAGGCCCATTAGCAGCCTTGGTAAACTACGGCTGCGGGGGAGCAGGATTGATCCTTGTGTTAATGTGTACAGATAGATGACAGTGTGAGGATGTAAATAACTGGGCAGTAATTTCCCAGTCATACAGGCGCATGGACTCACATGTACAGAATAAGGGAACTGCATCATTGGTTCATTTCTCCTAGCAACAGAATAATCAACCTCCAACGATGTGAGGACTAAAACTGACTCTGTAAAGCTAAAAAAAAAAAAAAAAAAAAAAAGAAGAGGAAAAAAAGAAAAGAATTCTTGAGAATTGAAAGCAACTTAGTAGATTAAAATTCAACAAATGCATCTGTTGTTCACCTTATTCATGACCGAGGTGATGAAAACCTTTCTGCACAAAAGAAGCTTTAGAATGAACTGCTCGCAAAATATCTCAAGTATCAAAAGCACCAAGGTTTCATCCTTGAAAAGTTACCTCACTCTGGAATCTGCAGTCATGAAAAGGGTCTGTTGTCTCCTGACACATTGGAAGCACTGGATGTTATAGAAGGTGTAATCAGAGTCTTTCAAAACACATGAATGCTAAAAGCACTTGGGATGTTTGGACAAGCAGGAGGGCTACATAATAGCCATTTGTCAGGCCACAAACAACAGAAATCAGCTCGACCTTCAATTCAAATCAAACAGTCTGTTTACATAATTTCCCTGTTGGGCTCCATTTTTCATAATCACACCAAGTAGAGGTTTTAATAGAGCTTTTGCAAACACAAAGTCAGGCACTGTATCTCCCAACAGCTCAATTATATATGTTTAAACAGACTGGCAAAGGAAATTCACCAAATGTCTACAGGTCTTTATCAGGGCTGCGCTAAATTTTCCAGTTGGATTTTGGGCGTGTGCTTGAATTTGTCCAGCATGCATATATCCATGCTGAGAGATGAATCACTGCAGCAGCAAATGCATCTGGACACATAAAAAGTCCAAATGAAATCTAAAGAGCCTGAAGTGATACAAATAGAGACTATATCAAGAGCAAGGAAAGCTCTGAATCTCTGAATGTAAAGAAACGCACTGGTGCATATATGTGATATAGATACCATATTTCATTATCAGGAAATAATGATAATAATAATAATTATTATTATTATTCTGTTCTTATTAGCTAAATACATCAGATGAACAAAAACACAATAACTAAGCCAAAATATATAAGCAAGTACACCCTTACTTCTTCCATAGTAATTAAGAGGGTAAACAGCAGCTAAAAACCCAAGAGCTACAATCTGAGTACAATTAGAAAAAGACCAAAAAAAGTATAGCTTGTCTGGAAGTGCAGCCAGAAGCAAACGAAAATGGAAGCACAGCATAGTCTGCATCTGAACAAACCACAAGACTTATAGAACAATGTCCTTTGGACAGACAAGACCAAGGTGGAGATGTCTGGCCACAGTGCACAATCCAACATTTGGCAAAAAACAAAGCACAAACTCCTCATAACAACTGTGAAGCATGGTGGTGGAGGGATAATGATATGGGCTTGTCTTGCACCCTGGGCGCTTTGCATTGAGTGGACCATGAACCTTTCTGTATTATCAAAGTATTCTCTAACCAAATGTGATTGGATGCAAGACAGTGTGATTGGCCAATCTGACCAACAACTAAAGCTTGACCTATATTGGGCTGTGTAACAGGATAACTGTCCTGAGCAAACCATCAAATCTCCATCAGAAAAAGAATCAAAGAGATCCAATGGTCCAGTCAACATCAACCAAACCCAATATCCCCAGACCTGTTGTTGTTCAATAAACGTAATATTAAACTTACTAAGGTTGGACTTAAATTATTTTAGACCCAAGTAAGGGTCGGATTAATTTGATGATGATGGATAAACCTTGAAAGAGGGTGCACTTTCTATTTTAACATTACATAATACCAACTTTTCAGTTGATCAAGGAATCCTTGTTTTAGATTAAAAAAAAACAAAAAACACACTTCCACTCATTAAGATTCAAGAGCAACTACATGAAAACTTCCCTCAAATGGTTTTGAAACATTCCATTATGTAACACTGTAGGTTCTGACAGCCGTGCCTCAGTGAGAATTATAATTATAAAACTGGCCTCTAACCTGTCCAACTGTTGACTCATTTTAAGAAGACGCTCACTGCATATCTCCATCTGGCAGCGATGTCAAGAAAAAGTAGCTGCCAAAATTAAAAGGGTAATTTTATCTTTTCCGAGTCATTTCTTTGTCCCAGTAGTGGTGTTAAAGGTGCTGACAAAACTATTTACACTACTCAGGACAGGAAGAGGAGCTAATGACAGTGATTTATTTTTTTCCACGCAGCCTTCCTTCCGCCTACATTCATTTCTCGGCTGTTTTGCTTGACGAACAACACTCCCTTTCTTCGGTTCAGTAAAGTGGTGATTTATTTTTGTGATTTACAGCAGCCCGACTTACAGTGATAAGTTATACATCACATAGAGGCACAACTTGTTATATTTTCAGCTTTCTATGTCAACACAGACGGCAAATTCAACTAAAGTGCAGATACTCAAGAATCGTTTGCAGGCAATGACTGCCTAAAGCCTGGAATCCACGAACATAAAAAAGCAGATTTCCTCCTTGACGATATTTTGCGAGGCCTTTACAACCGCTTCTTTGTGGATCTCTCTGTCTTTCATTTTGACTTCACATACATTTCAGTATATTTTAGTTAACTGTTCTTCTGTACAAGTGCTATTTTGCAGGATTTGACCAAATCTGACCAAAAGAATATGTGACTATACTTTAAAATTCATCAGCGTTTTTTTATTGGAACCTTTATTATCTCTTGTGATTTCTTGATCTTGTGATCTTTTGTGGATTTCTAAAATAACCTTCTTTTTCATAGAACATACCAAGCTCTTTATTTTCCAATTCCTACTGTTCCCGCCATCTGCCTGATGGTTTAGTTTGGTTTTTGGAGCTTAGGACTCGCCAGTTTCTTTCAAGAGTTACAAACTTTCAGATTTAAAAAACAATAACAACAAAAAAAAAGGTCAAAATTATACTCTATGGAATAAGGTATAGAGACAACTCTGAGAGTCAACGGCGTGAACACACAAAATCTGGGTAGGAGAATTTTTTAATGAATCATATAAACACAAGATTTGACAGAAAGTACATCAAGGACTGGAAATTGCCCCATTATTAATGCCAAAACATCAAACTATTCTACATGGATATATTATGGACGGCAAAGTTTTTCTGTGAGCAGAACAATTTGTGTTTTAGTCACATTATTGCTACAAATAAATGTATCCATAATAACAATTGCATGGAGAACAGAAGCCTCAGCATGTCTTCACTCAACAGTACACACACACAAAGCGCTCTGCAACATCACATTTCATGTATTTTGCTACATATTTTGCAGTTATATAACATATTGGAATGTCTGTCAAAGTACCCTTATTAACATGACCCAGACAGATCTGAAACATGCTTGAAAAATGTCTGAATAATACATTGTGTTGTACAAGAAGCCTGGAATTTGCAGAAACTGTCTGTTGTCAGTTGGTGACTGTGAGTCAGACTCTTCCCCTGACCTCTGAAAAATACCTGCAA